TATTATAACATAACACAATAAATCAACATTACAATGAAAAAGTAGTTTTTTTTCAAACAGATTTACAGAAGAGTGTCAAAAATCCTAGTTATTTCCCTTAGATTAGTCTAATTTAAAAGAAAATATTTTATGACAGCGGCGATGATCTACTAAAATTGTGTTGTTAAAACTAATGGTAAGATTACAAAAAATAAACTCAACACAATGCCCGAACAGTAATATGAGAATTGCACAGTAACTCTATTTGCACTCGTAGTTAAGAACAAGTACAAAGAATTGGAACATGTTGGTGATTCAAAATAGAATGCCTTAAGTTAAGGAAAAAACACTAGTTGCATTCGCAAAGTCATCCCGAGGAAGAAAAGAGAAAAAGAAGTAGGTGAAAAAAATGAAAGATGCAGAGTGTATAAGGTTAAACAAACCAATCAGAAATAAGATTAAATAAACCAATTGGAGATAAGGTTAGATGAAAAAGGACTAAACAGGAAATATGAAGAGAGTAGAAGAAATGAAAGACACTGATGCAGTGGACAAGCACAAAAAGTGAAACAAAAAAGACAAAAAAAAAAAAAAACAGGTTCTTTCCAAAAAAGAAACAATTGTGATGGGGGGTAAAAAAGGAAACGTATAAAGAATCATGGAATGAATGCATAGGAGAACTCTTTCATGATAACAGATGAGAGAAACCTATTAAATACTTGTATATAAAAGTATGAAAGGAGCAAGGCTACTGAAATTTGAAATAAAAACAGAAATCGTGTAGATGAAGGGGAACAAATCAGCAGGAGCAGATGCGGTTGTCATAGAGATGTCAATAGCCTTAGATGACTTTAGGATTGATAAGATTACTGAAGTTAAAATAATGGTGAAATACCAGATCTAGGCAGATCAATGTTCATAACACAAGAAACCAAGTGGAAATAAATGTAAACTTCATTAAACAATCAGCTTGATAAAGGACATCACAAAACTAATAACAGAGCTTGCAACAGAATTGGATCATAGAGGAAGAACAATGTGGGTTTGTAAAAGACATTTAAATAAAATAATTAAAAAATAGCAATACTCCATTGAGGGTCAGAATACTGTCAAAATGAGCAATAGAAAAGAAGATCTATATTTGTGTTTCATACATTATGCAAAAGCATTCAGTAAATTACAACATAAGGAACTTGAGATGTTAGAAAAGCTTGGTCTATAGGGAAAAAACATTTTATATAATGATGTTTAGTCTGTACAAAGCCCAAGAGCCACTCCAGGTACAGAGTTACAGATGTACAAATAATCTACACTCAGTATTGGTAACAAATGGGTTGCCTGTAAATAGACAACAAATAAAAGCATTATTTACATTATTTGGACTGTTACCCTCATCTTCATTGCCATATTCACAACGTTTTGGCTGTTGTACTCTCTGGCCTCAGGTAATTGGAATTTCGAACTGAACCCTTTATTTTGTCCACTGTGAATACATGTGAATATGGCAATGAAGATGAGGATAACAGTCTGAATAATGTAAATAAATAAAAGCAGTACACCAAAATAGAAAGAGAAATACAAAGTTGTGACTTCTCACTAGATTTCAAATAATTAAAAAGGAACTACTAGAGTTTACTATTGGCAGATGTAACCATAACATACCTTATGCAAATGACACTGTATTTAGGCAGAAGAAAAAAAATGAAAGAACTTTTATAAGGTGGTTGAATAAAGGAAGAAAAAAAGTATTTACTATTAATTGTAAAAGACAGTATACATGATTGCAACATGTAATATCAAAATTTAATAATTAAAATAGCTGGAGCGTAAATATTTCAGAAGCATGTAAAAAGCTACATAAAAAGAATAAACATATATAATAAACAGCAGACTTCAGAAAAAGTTACCAAAAATAAAATGTTATATAAGATTAAAAATGTTCAGGTGTAATAGAAACAGTGTGTGATAAAAAAGGAATTTTCAAAAAACTGTTGGTCTAAATGCACAAATCCTTGGGTGTGTATCACATAAAAGCAGATAAATACAACATTTTGTATCAGGTTGTAGTCAGTCAGCTGATCTACACTGATTTATACTAAAGAGAAGTGGCCAAAGGTCAAAAGACTCACAGGTAATTGATATTATATAGCAGTTTCTTGAAGTTAGTACATTTACCATATATACTCATGTATCATGTGACTTTTGAAGAGATAGTTTTTAAGTTAATTTTAAGAGGGCCACATCATATGCAAAATATAAAATTAACTTGTACTGCTGGCCCTGGCTACACCATTGACCAAACTATATATCCATCTACTGTAGTCGAAAAGTACAGCTGTATTTAAAATAAACATGATTTTGATAAAACTGATGTTTTACTTAACTGTATCCAATAATAATGCATGTAATATTCACATATTAGTATCATATTATAAAATACAAACATAACGAATATGGATCTTTTCCATTGTTTATATTTATAAGATGTTTAGCTGTTTCTTGTTCAGTTGTTTATAGCTGTCCATGTTTATATAACAAGTATAGCATTACTAATGATAGTTTTATCATTCTTTTTTACTTTTTTAACTAGAAGATAGGATAAAGAGAGAGAAAAGGTCTATTATAACTTGGTCTCTCAAAAAAGGAACTCACAATGATACACGAGATACACAATAAAATCATTTTTATAAGTGAAAATTTGGGACGTCACATGATACACCAGATTATGCATTACATGAGTATCTACGGTAAACTTCTTTTCCTTCTGTAAGTCAGTCAGTCAGGTCTGTGCCATGTGTGATACACGCTTAGGTGATCATGTATCTTTTGATACATGACTGATGATGCAGATTTTTTTCCCACAGTAGGTTGCAAATTTTTCTGTGGTAGACCAGTTGCCATCCAAGGCTATAGAACCCAGTCTGTCCTGCTATTTACCTATAGCTGGGGAAAGAAGAGGATTCATACCTTTTCCAAGGGTATTAGCACATAAGTGAATGTAATGTTTTCGACTGGAATTCGAACTCGGCTCTACGATTCCTCAATCTGAGCCACTATCCATTACTCCACCATGCCTCTGTAAGTAATGACATCTAATAAAATGTATGAAGTTTTGGTAAAGTTTAGTAAATGTACAAATAAAAAGTGTCAAAAGGATGTTTTTCTTTTTACATCACTATTTTTTTGGGTAGTTTTATACTTTTAAAAAGCTATTTTTAAAATTTTAAATGAAACCCAAACATATATATTTTTGTTTTTTTAACTACCAGGTAATGTTTAAAAAATTAAAATATTTTAAGCAATTATCTGATATTTTATTGATTTTTCTTTAGTAATTTTGAAGATACTTTCTCATAGTATAATAATTTAAAATACTATAAAAATTTCTTAAATTTTTTAGTTACCTCTATAATGGTATTTCATTATTTAATAACTAAGATAATATGATAAATAATTCTATTAATTATTATATTATCAGTTATTACAGTTTTAATTTAATAACTGAGATAATAATCAATAAAATTATTAATTATTATATTAATAATTAAATTACCACACTCAGTTATTAAATTTTTAAATTGATAACTGAAATATAATAATTTTATTAATATTATCTGAATAATTCAATTAATTTAATAACTAATATAATTAATAAAATTATTATATTATCTGTTATCAATTTAAATAACTGAGAGCGAGATGATACTTTATAGGAATGTCCCACTTTTTCGCTAAAAAAGTGGCACACCCTGATGAAAAAGGCCCCAAACTTAATAAAAACAACGTTTTATCACGAAAAACTTTATGTTATTAATAAGAGTAGAGACCAAAGTATTTTTTTAATTATTTTTGAATTTTTTTTTTCCCTTTTTTGGCAATTTTTAATTTGTAGCTGAAAAATCACCTTTTTTAGGTCTAAGATCACTGAAGATATTTTGCAATAGCGTTTTTTTCACTTAAAAGACACATGAACTTGGAAATTCTTTAAAAATCAAATAATTGTCGCAATTTAGTGAAATTTTCAGAACTTATTTCGAAATGACGGAATTTATTGTAGAAAAGTTTGTCTTTTGAAAACCACAGTAAAACTATATTTTTTTTTACGCTTAATACCCAATTTTACTTAAGTTTATGAAAACTCTAAAACTAGATTGGTCGTAACTAATTTTATTTTTTTATTAAATAAAGAAGACTTTGAGGAATATAAATCATAAATTTCGTATAAAATTTTCATACGCGTGAACCCCAATTTTAGCTCCGAATTTACAATATAAAAATGCATGAAAACTAAGAGATTATTCTATGAAAACAGCTTTTAATGGATTTTATCAGTAACACATATTAAGGACTTTTTTGTCTGAAGTCAAAATTTTTTTACGTTGGAAAATAAATTTTTACGAGAATTGTTTTCTTTTTTTTTCATTTCTAAATAGTAAATAATATTGATAAATATTTCATAAATAAATTAGATCGGCTGTACCTCGTTTTTTTTTGCTCATTAAAACGATCTATTTTTATAGATTATAAATTACAAAGTTTGTAACAATCTGTGATACGCGCGATATTTTAAAATAATTTTTTATGATTTCAAAAAATGTATTAAAATCACCTCTGACAAAACTACGGATGTCCACTTAAGATAAATGAAAATTATGCTAGAGTTATACCCCCTGACTGATTGAACCTATCAGTCTTTTTGGCATAGCTTTCGTTCTGAGGGCACGTGTCAAATTTTCTGAGTGACTATTATCGTTGTATTGTCAACAAACTTTTTCTAATTTTGTTAACAAAACTTTTCTTCTAATTTTGTTTTTATATATAATCAATTTCTTCTTTTTCAGTGAGAGACATATTGCAAATATTAATTTTTTTATTATTTCAAATTTAGGGACGGATTCTTTGGGTAGAGAAACGGATGGTTTAACCATCATCTCAGTTATCAATAACTGAGAGATAATTTAATAACTATCTCACTCTCCATTATTAAATTTTTAACTGTGATAATATAAAATTAAACTTACTTTTTAAATTTTGAAGAGATGATTTCCGAATCCTTTTGAAACGTAGAGACGATATGAAACACGGAAGTGAAATAAAAAAACTGCCCACAGCCAAAAAGTTTATATGAAGGGATTTTCCCTAAGGGGGACAATCCTTGAAAGCTTTTAACCATAATGTCATTTATGAAACACCATACTTAAAAAAAAATAAAAATAAAAAAGACCATAAAAACACAAAAAATTATTTTAAAATTTTAATTATTGTAAAAATTTTTGGTGGGATGATTTGTCTTAAACTTTTCAATTTTCGCTTGGTAAATATAGTCTTCACTTAATAATTAAATAAGCTAACTGTAGTGATGTTTAGAATAATTTTAAAACATTTTTGAAACTTTATAGTTAAAAAAAGAAAAATGCAAACAATTCTTGTAAAAATTCATTATTCATCGAAATTTTTTTCTTCAGACTATTTATAGAAGCAATTAAAAACTTACCTAATTAAATAATTAGATAATTTTATTGCAGTTTTTATTTTACAATTTGGAGCAGATTTTAGAAAAGTTGGTAGTAGTTAGGGAAAAAAAAATGATGATTTATTTTACAATACATTCTTCAAGGACCAATGTGTCCTGCTTTTAAACTAATAAAAAACATTCGAAGCAATTTTAAATTCTAAAAAATTTTATAAGTGGGGAAGGGGTTTAACAGATGTAAAAAATATTTTTTACCAAAGATTTTCTTAAAAATAATAATTTCAAAAATAAATTCATTCATTTGTGAATAAGTCCTGAAAGTTGCATTAAAATCCGACAATTATTTGATTTTTAGCAAGAATTTAAAAATTAAATGTTTTTCACCGGAAACGCCGACGCGAAAATGTCCATTACCAGCTCTATTACAACCTCTGCACAAAAGATTTTTTAACATAAGTTTCGAACGTGTTAGAAAGGATTAAAATTTTTTTAAAAATAATTTAAAAGATACTTTGTTCTTTACGCTTTAACAAATATTTTGACGATAAAAATTTGTTTTTTTTTTCAAGTTTGAGCCTTTATGCTCTTTTTCAGCGAATTATTGGAGGTATTGGATGCCTTCATTCATACTAGCTAAAAGAAAAAAAAAAAAAGAGTCACTAAAGAAAGACGGATCTCTGTGGAACTGTCTCCTTTACCTGGCCAGATTTTGGCAACTTGTACCAAATAACGGCCTCAATAGTCGAAATCTCTACTTGTTCGGCTATGGCTTTATTGCGCAGTGATGTTCTTTTCTATATACCATTTCCATAGGTCTATAGCCCGCTGATGCTCCATTTTCTCAGCATCTCTTGAAAACATTATGAGCGAAACGCTGTGTTGTTATCCATGAAGGCTTCTTCCACTGGTTCTATTTCCCAAAAACCTCATTCAGTTTCTCTGTAATTACGACTGCTGTTTCTGTTCGAAGTTCCAACCAAGACCAGAGTGGGTTAAAGTCCAATTTATTTTAGTTTTCTCTTCAATTCTCCAACCACATGTGTCGAGGAGAACAAATTATGTAGGAAAAATAAGACAATGACTTGTTTTTAAATAAAACAATTAATTACTGAAGTAAGTTAATAAATTCGTTCTCCGTAAGTAAATACAGGAAAACGGAGAAAGGGAGAAAGAAAAAAAACAAACACCTGTGTCGATGGATCGGAAAACAGTGCTTTTAGTTTTACACAAAAAAAAAAAAAAAAACTGACTGAACGGGAGATATGAAATTAATTAGCAATTACTAGTGAGTCTTCTTTGGTCAGTCAAACAAAAAGCGTAATATCGGTATTTTTTTCAAATTCGATTATTATTAAAATTCTTATTTTGCGAAGTAATGCGTAAATTATTTTGCTTTTTGTATATAAAAAAAATAATAAGTAAATATATGTGGTTGTTAACGTGTTAATTTTATTTCCTTTCCCTCTCGGACGGGCTTAATTAATTTTCTTTTAAAAGCACGTAATTAACATGTGCTTACCGGAGATCTGTTAGTGTCGCCTGGCTTGATCTGGATGACGTCATTTCCTCTCGCTTTCAGTAGTTGTCTGCCTTTTTGACTCTCAATTTTAATTCAAACATGGCGGGTGAAGTTATAGTCGATGCTTTACCTTATTATGACAAAGGTTACGAAGAGCCTGGTATTCGAGATTCGGTAAGTTTTTTTTTTTTTATCCATTAAAGAATAAAAATAACGATTTTTATTGCCTAAAACTTGTCTTATATTATGAATATATCTTGGTCAAATACACTTTGACTTAAGTCATTATTACTTTCCTTTTTTTTTTTTTTAAACTATTGTTGAAAAATAAAAAAATGATTTATTTTATTATTATTATTTACTAATATACTTTCCTTTTTTTTTTTTAAACTATTGTTGAAAAATAAAAAAATGATTTATTTTATTATTATTATTTACTAAGCTTAATATTTTTTTCACGAAGTCACAACGATGGGGTACCCAGTGAGAACAAACTCACTACTAGATTTATTTACATTTTAATTAGAATAACTTAAGTTTTAAAGTATTTTTTAATCTTAAAATTCTGTCTTAATTTGTCCCTTTTAGTTTTAGTAAATTTTATGAAAAAAACTTAGTAAAATCCTATCGAGCTAATGAATAGAATTATATTCAAGAGTATGTAAAGTATATTTTTAATAATTCCTAAGATGCAAAACCTGAGTTTATTCAAGAAATCTTGAGATCTCCATGACAAGATGTTAAATTAATCTCCTTGATTTAGAACTGCTGAAATGTGAACTTTTAAAATAAATATATATTAAATGTTTTATTTTCAAGAAGATGATAAAGTTTGGAAGTTAGTCTTCTTATAGTATATTCTAACAATTGCTTTTGTTTGCATTTTATCTATTATATAAAAAGTTATCAAAAATATAAACTGTGCACAATAACTTCATATATACTATGTATGCCATTTTAATCTTAAATATATACTTTTCTAGTGCTTTCTTAATAAGAATTGATTCAAATATGATATTCATTTTTTTGACATTGATAAAAATGCTATTTTCTATTATTAGGCATTGGCCCTTGTTGAAGAAGAAACTAGAAGATATCGACCAACAAAGAATTATTTGGACCATTTGCCAGCTCCTAATTACACAGCATTTGAGGTAATTTTTTTATTTTGGGTTTTATTACCTGCACAACCAAATTCATTAAAAAAAATTTAATCTTTTTTTAATGAATTTGGTTGTGCAGCTACTAAAGTGATAGTGGCACAGAATGAGAAAATGATAAACTGAGTTTGAATTCCAGTTAAGTTTATGTGACTGTATGATTCATAGTAGACATGGGAAGTTCTTCTGCATACATTGTATTTTTCAAACCTGTCATTTTCAGATGATCACATGTAATACTCCTCATCTTGTTACAGTTCCAACAGGAGGAAGATGAAAAATTTCTAAAAGAATTCATTGAATCAAAATCAGAGTTGTTCTTTTATGATGCAATGCACAATTTAATTAAAAAGTGGCTTAGAAATTTGGGCAAAATGCTTTGAATACTGATGCTATGAATTTATGTGTATAAAATTCCCAGAAGAATTCATTGGATCAAAAGCTTCTCTGTTGTTTGTAACAGGTAATTTTTTTTGTCAGTTTAGGGAGAATTTATAAGAAATGTAAAAATCATTATTAATAAATCTAATTGCTGAAATCAAACTTTGTATAGTCCACATCTGACAAAGTTATACTCTTTTCTCCATTCTTCAACAGAAAGAAGAAATTGTAATGAGTGTTGAAAAAATGATAGTATATGATAGATCAAATGTGCATTTTTAGAAGTTTATTGGATAAATTTGATCATTTATTATTTGTTTTTTTTTTGCAGACAGAAATTATGAAAACAGAAATTGAAAGGCTTCAGTCCAGATTGCCAATGGAAATGTTAAGCATGAAAAGGTACAAAGAATTTTCAAGTTTTGTCTCTCTCTAAAGATCCTGAGGTTGTATCAAGAGTTATGAAAATAGATGGATAGCTAACATTTCTGCCAAAATGCACCTCTCTCTCTTGATATATATATATATATATTGCACATATAGTGCTGATGTTAGTAAAACATCATGTCAGACCAATATTTAATCTCGAAGGAACAGACAGCTTGATGGATGTAGTAACCTAATAGAGATTATTACTAAATAATATGTTATTACTTACATAGCCACATAATTTTTATTGATTTCTTTTCTCTCCTTCTCTTTATCTGTCTTTTATTGTCATGTTTATGATCTTGTGCCAGATTAAGTAAATAACCTAAAATCACTGTTGCAATTCGCCTGGTTCCTAACATTTGTTCCTATTTTTTCTTCTGTAGAAATGCAGGAAACAATAATTGAAATGGATTTTATGAACTAAAGGTAGACTAAGGTCCTTGTGTCTGAGGTCGAGAAAGAGGGTGGAAGGTGTGTGTGTGGGGTCTTGAAGACTCTATAATCACCCACTTGAAAATCTTTTTCCAATTGTAAAAGGACTATTTTGAGCATATATACACTGGGAATGGTTTGTGTATTTAGGCAGCAAATTCTCTTTTAGGTCTGTCTGATTAAATAAATTACAAATATTATGTCTGCTTATTTTTAGCATAATCTGTTCAGAATCATGTATATTTTTCCATGTATTACAATCAAATGATGCAATAAACACTCTAACAGTGAAAATCACTTTTATTTCCCAAGTACTTTTCATCTCTTTCTCAGATTATCATCAGAAGTGCAACTAGTAAGGCAAAAACTATTTGTAGCAATCCATTACTGAATTTTTTCTTTTTGCTTTTAAATGCAATAGCTGACAGTTATGCTTTAGTTTCATTAGAATGTGAAAAAATTATCCACTATAGAATTTTTTTCTTTTATGTTGGAATGTTATGGTCATGTACACATTAAGTGTGAAAACTGTTCCTTTTATAGCCATTTTAGAACATTATTATAGCATTTATAGTTGATTCTATTCAATGTCAGCTTCAATTTTTTAATGTAGATTGCTAAAAAAAATGTCTAAAAGAGAATTTGCTGCCACACACACACACACACACACACACGCATATATATATATATATATATATATATATATATATATATAGCGCTGGTGTTAATAAAACAGTGTTCAATGTAATACAACAGAGCTATTATGTATATATTAATAAATATACATATTATCCCTCACCGTTAGCAAAGTCTTCAGGTACAGAGTATAGACTAAGCATTACATAATTTGAATAAAAAAAAAAATATCTGGTTATCACAACATTGGCACAGTTATATATTATATTTGGATTATAGTTTTTTAATTTAAAAAAATTATATTTGGCAATTAAAATAAACAGGATTCGTATATGTATGTAAAAAAAAAAAAAAAAAAAAAAAAAATAGTATAGGCCTTTGTGCCTGCTTTATGATATTTACTTCACGATCGCTAATAGAATTGTCATTTTTTGCTAGACTTTGTAATGGTTACCCGTCTTATCTACCATAATAATTATTTTGTTGGATTTTTTTATAGAAACGTCTGTTAGCATTTTTTGCTGTAAATTGTTGGTAACATTAGTGAATTTAATTTTGTCTATTACTGAGAATAGATTTTTTTTCAAAGTCCAGAAATAGATCATTGCATGGTGTTTTTTTTTTTTTTACTTTGACTTGAATCCATAAAGCTCAACATCTTTTAAGTTGTTATATTAGTTGATGTGGATATATACCATAAAGCTATTAACAAGAAAGTTAATAAGCTTTATAAAAAGGCACTAATCAACTGGGAAATTAACATTAGTAAAGCCAAGAAAATAACCACTGAACTAAAAATTAATGATAGGTTCTACAAATTCCACAAACATTAAAAGCATTCATTACAGTTAAAGACCACAAAGCAAATTTCCTAAACAACTATCAATACTTACTACTCGACCCAACTAAAAATAATATTGGTATAATCAGCAAAAACATCATTGGAAGAGCATGCAAATATACCAAAAATGTTCTAGGAATTAACCAGTGACATAAAACAGCAGAAGCCATAGAATGGTTTACTAATATAAAAACAAAGAATGAATGTACATTCATCCAGTTCAATGTTTGTGACATCTGCAAATGTTGGCTATAAATCTAGCAAAAAATTACTGTCCTATTAGTGATCATGAAGTAAATATCATAAAGCAAGCACAAACTATTCCATAATGGTTATCTGTGGACCAAAAGAAGTAACCCAGTATTTAATATTGTTTGGGAGTGTATGATTCAGTGTAGGCATGCGAAATTGTAACCCCCACCAATGCTAAAGTGATCAACTTTCTCGATGTAACTTTAGACCTGAATAATGGTTATTATAAACCATATACAAAAGATCTTTATAATCATAGATGTATTAGTAAAGAATTAAACCAGTACCACAAGATTATAGATGATTTATATAAATCAATTCAAGTTAGATTATCCACTAACTTCAGCAATATTTAGAAATAAACAAAGGAGGTAAAAATAAGCAGAAACATTGTAAATGCAACATTATATGGTTTAGTCTATCTTTTAACTGTAGTGTTCGAACTAATATTGGAAGAATTTTCCTAAATTTAATTCATAAACACTTTAACCGTTTACCAACACTAAAGAAGATTTTTAACAAAAATGATGTTAAGATCAGCTATCAAAACAAAATTATAATAAACAAATATATTTCCAACAAGGACAACATAAATTCTTTTAAACATAATTGCAACTGCAAAAAAAAAAATGATCTGTCCCTTAAATGGTCAATGTATGACTGATAATATTGTATACTGAGTGAGTATACATTTCAGTAATGATGTTAAATTTTATTTTGGTTCCACTGAAAATCCTTGAAAATTTTGTTTTTACCATCATCGAATGTCCTTAGGAAATAAAAAATACATCGGCACTGCTCTCTCTTCTTTTTTTTTTATTCGGAATCACATCATGCATGACCACTAAAACACAAGGGGTTACAAGGTGTGGAAGAATTAAGAACAGAAACATTAATGATGAGCAGAAAAAGAAAAGAGTAATCAAGTAGACAATAGATAGCAATTGACATTGCATTTAAATTTTTGCAGATTAAAGTTGGTTGGAAAGTATGGAGCTAAGAGGGAGTTTGGCAATTAAAGAATGATGGTATCTCACCATCAATCAACTGGAGAATTATATCTAGAGCTAAAGCTTATAACAGAAAAGGAAATAAATGTAACTTACTCTTTACCAAGCTTATTTTTTCTAGAATTGTTCCTCCTGCCACTGCATTTTTTTGAGGGTGCAAAAACATGAACACCTTCTGTTTTAGAATTGTTATAACTTTCTTTGTATTGTGTGTATAGATTTTAATTTTTGTACATTAAAATATTATTCATTCATTCTTTTATTAATGTAATGCATTACGTTTTGCATGCCTGTTTTGACGTTGAAAACAAAAAAATTGAAACGCGAAATAATAAACACAAAATAGAAGCCAAATATATTAAAAAATACATAATTCAATGTATTTTAACTTTTATTATTCCTTGTGGAGTCCTGGGGGTGCAATAAGAAGCAGAATAACTTAAAAGGCCCTTATCTTGTTAAAAACGTGATGTGTTTCCTTGTGTTTACATACGAGAAGACACTAGCATTTGTTGTCTCTTTCTTTCACCTGACTCGTATTTATTTGTCTTGTTGACAAAGTTATTACTTTGTCATTTATAAATAGACAAAATAATTCACCTTCAGAAAGACCATCAGGTATATCGATGGTTGCCAGTAATTTCCATAAAATTAATCAGGCATGGATGATAGTAACTACTAGTGGTCATCATTGCTTATCTCCACGTCACTAGCGTGGTTATCATCTTCGACCACTTCACTGTCAATATCCATAAAATCATCATCAGAGTCCTAATTAAAGAAAAACTCCTAAATAAAGGCTTTCTTGGATAGTGTTGTATCATATTTGTTTACAAAAAAATCTTGAAAAAATTAACTTGGGTTTAATTCGTATTAAACCTCATGTAGAGTCTAGAAGAACTCAAAATGGTGTTGGAAAATGGAAGTTTAACCTTCTTCCAAAGCAGTAGTTGGCGGTTTCCAGCTTAAAATATCGGAAATAACAGTTGACAAGTATTTATTTATAGTAACTGTCTCAAGGTGACAGAATGCGCCTAGAGGGAGAGAATTCTACAGTGACAATTTTCACCAGCAGCATGATAAAGGTTTTGTTTTGTTGAAAAATTGGTTATCTTAAAACATTTAAATAACCCTAACTTATTAAACAAGAGGAATGAATTGATGGTTACATGTAGACATAAAAATAAATATCTGTTTAAATACATTGATCCAGATTAATTTTTTTGTTTTTAATGTAAATTACAATTTATTTTGAATACAAATATTTTTTAAATAAGAACAAGTAATCTCCCTTTAAAAAAAAAAATGAAAAAAAAAAATGCATTTTTTTCTTAAATTAAGAACTGTAATCCCAGCATAATATATAACTACGTCAGCATTGTGATAACCAGATATATTATAATTAAAACTATGTAACTGTCAGTTCATGCCCAGCTCCAGAAGACTGCATTGTGCATGAAATTCTAAGTCATGCTAGCAATGAGGGATAATATACTTAATAGCTCTGTTATATTACATTGAGCACTGTTTTATTAACACCATCACTATATGTGTGATATATATATGTAGTTTAATTAAACAACAGACAATCTTAGGGGTCCATTGATAAAATTTTATTTCCCCAGGAAAGTGATTTTTTTTTTTTTTTTTCTTGGTTCCTCAGATCACATTTCCAATATTGTATAAAAGAAAATGGTTTAAAATTTACATATTATTTTTATACAAGCTTTTCAAGAGCAGTTTTAAGTTGATGTAAGGTACTAGAGAGAGGGGAGGAGGAGAACAACAGATCTGGTCAA